GGAGCCAAGGAGAGGGTGGGACTGAGTTTTACGTGGTTGGTTTTTATTATCTGGATAACAGCAAGAAACAGAAAATAGAGAAAGAGAAAAAAAAAAAAAAACCTGTGTTATATGGGGTTGGGGGCGGTGATTCAAGCCTGTAATCCCAACACTTGGGAGGCTGAGGCAGGTGGATTGCCTGAGCTCGGGAGTTCAAGACCAGGCTGGGCAAGAATAAGACCCCATCTCTAAAAAATAGCCAGGTGTTGTGGCAGACACCTGTAGTCCCAGCTACTTGGGAGGCTGAGGCAAGAGAATTGCTTGAGCGCAAGAGTTTGAGGTTGCTGTGAGCTGTGACTTCACAGCACTCTACCCACAGCAGATCGGCTAACAGACTGAACTTCCTTGTAACATAATGGCAGACAAAAATGCCTTCCACTCCAAGTGAGACTCTGTCACACACACACACACACACACACACACAAAACAAACAAAAAACTGTGAGATACTACTATGTACCTACTAGAAAGCTGTTTAAAAAAAAATGATAAATGCTGGCAAGGGTGCAGAATAACAGCACTGTCATTCTTTGTGGTAGGAATGCAAAAGGTACAGCAAAGTTAAACACTATACAGCCCAGCAATCCCACTCCTACCTGTTCACCTGAGTGAACTAAAAATTAAGTTCACCAAAAGCTTAGGTTCAAAATCATATGCAGATGAATGCTTTATTCATAATTGCTAAAAAGTAGAAGCCAAGAAGACATCCTTAAACAAGGGACAGATAAATAAATTGTGGTGCATCCAAGCCATGGTATACTATTCAACTATGCCAATCAGCAATAAAAAGGAACTACTGATACAACATGGATCAGTTTTAAAGACATGATGAGGGCTCAGCGCCTGTGGCTCAGGTGGCTAAGGCGCCAGCCACATACACCTAAGGTGGCAGGTTCGAAGCCTGGGCCCGTCAAGCAACAATGATGGCTGCAACCAAAAAAAATAAAATAGCCAGGCTTTGTGGTGGGCGCCTGTGGTCCCGCCACAGTAACTTGGGAGGTGGAGGCAGGAGACTCGCTTGAGCCCAGGAGTTGGAGGTTGCTGTGAGCTGTGATGCCAGGGCACTCTACCCAGGGGGACAGGTTGAGGCTCTGTCTCAAAAATAAATAAATAAATAAAGACATGATGAGTGAAAACACCAATGCCAGAATGGCACTTATGATACTTAGGATTCCATTTATATGATATTCTGGAAAAGGCAAAATTGTAATGACAGAGAACAGTTATTTCCAGGGCTTGGGGATGCAGGACCCAGCTACAAAGGGGTGGTACAGGGAGTTTCTTTGGGATGACAGAACAGTTCTGAGTCCTAAATTTATGCATATTTTGGCTCGGCGCCTATAGCTCAACCGGCTAAGGCGCCAGCCACGTACACCTAAGGTGGCGGGTTCGAATCCCCAGCCCGGACCCGCCAAACAA